GCGCCCCGCCGACTCACCTCTCAGAGATGCGGCCGGCTGGGTAGAAGACGCTCTGCATGATGATGAAGTATTTCTGGGGACGGGGTGGGGAGTGAGGGAAACCAGGATCTCACTCCCCAGCCGCCCCCCTCTGGCCCAGCCACCTCGCCTCGGCCTCACCCACCTTCTTTCCCCGGGCCACGCGCAGACTGTGCACTCCTGGAAGGAGAGAAGGAGCCCGGTGAGGAAGCCCGCAGACTCTGCAATCCCGGGTCGGCCCTGCCCCAGTCCTAGTCCAGGTCACGCCTCCTTCTCCAGATCGGGACACTGGGAGCCCGCCCCGCGACCCCGGACTCTCCTCTCAGTTTAGGCGGAGGGAGACCGGACTCCACCTTTGGTCCTACCTGCCAACGATGCCCCTCCCCCAGGAATGGGCCCGCCCCCGCCCACATACCCTTCTGTCCAACCCCAAGTCCGCTTTTGGGACCCCCGCCGAGACCCAGCTCCGCCCACAGGCCGCGTGCTCCTGTGATTCGTCACTGTCTAGGCTTAGCTCCCCACTGACAACTACCCCGGGCCCCCGTACCCAGCAACCGGGCGAGCAGCGAGTGCGGGTGCCGCTGCAGGTGCTGCACGTAGCGGGGCAGGTGGGCGAGCAGCGCCCGTACCTCCCGGCGCCGCTGGGTCTTCAGGAAAAAGCGCTGGTCGTGGCTGGGGGCGGGACGGAAAGGTAACTACTCAGGCCTGGCTGGAGCCACTCCCACCCGGTCCTCCGCCCCTCCTGTGCAGGGGACCTCTCTCCGCATCCTACAACGCGGATGTCCCTCAAGCCTCTCGCCCTCGATCTCTGCTCCACTCCCACCCACCTGATCTCCACCTGACCCTTACCCTCCCTGATCGCTGCCCTGTTTCTCTCCACAAGGGGCCCTCCACCCACTCAGGGGTACACTCCACCCCTGCCTGCCCTTGCCACCAGCTCACGACAGGAAGAAGCTGGCCTTGCTCTTGGAGGTGCTGAGGAACTGCAGGTAGGGGCCACCGGGGCCCAGCGCAGCCTGGTAATCCTCCTCTGCCAGGCCCAGGGTGCGGCGCAGCCGGGCAAAGGCTGGGCCAGCCAGAGTGCCCAGCTCGAAGTCCTGTGGGGGAGAAAGAGCAGCCCCAAGAGTGTCCACCTGGGTCCAATTGGCCATGCTGTGGCAGAGACGTTGACCACATCCTTCCTGGAGGGCCCTGGGCAAGCAGTCACTCCCACTGTTCAGATTGGGAAACGGAGGGAGAGAGAGCACAGAGCGGTACTCGGTACTCCCCTTCCCGCATGGGGCTGTGGCCGTCTTACCTCGTGAACCTGGGTCAGGACCTCAGAGAAATCCTCCTGGGAGGGCAGCCCCTGCAGGGAGGGGTGGAAGGGTTCAGTTCCCTGCCTGCTCCACGATCCCCTGGCCTCGCTCCCTCCCCTAATGTGAATCCTCCAGCAAAGTGTCTCTGGATGCGCCTGAGCTGGGCAGATGGGCTGTTGGCCCTTCCACAGTTGGAGAGAGGACAAAAGTGACCTGAGGAAGGGCCCGGGCGAGTCTCATCCACCGCTGGGTCTCCAGCCCAGGTTCTGAGTTCAAGCCCGGCACATGATCCCAAGGACTGCATTTTAGCCAAGTGGCAGTGGTGACCTCTAAGCTGAGATCCGCAGTAGGAAGGAGGAGCCAGGTGCTCGCGCCAGTGCAAACAGTACTGTCCACTAGCAAGGGAAGAAGGCCGAGTGCTGCAGCTGGTAGGAGGGATGGTGCTGTAGACGGCTGGACTGCTGGCCCGAGGAGCCAGCAGGCCTTCGAGGCCATGCCGAGTGCTGGGGAGCCATGGCAGATTTCAGCATGTGCTGAGGCCAGGCTGTGCTTGAGAGGACTCCTGCAGACCCCTACAGGACCCCTGCACCAGAACTTGGCCAGTGGGGTGCAGTCACACGTGTACACACATAGACAACACACATGCTCGCCTGGCCTGCCCCGCTGCTGAGCTTGCAGTTGGGTGGCCCTTTCTGCTGAGCTAGCCTCAGCTCCAGAGAGGAGCTGGACTGGCAGGGTGGGGGTGGGGCCCCATCCCAACTACACACCCTGGCAGGACTTAGAGGGCCTCAGAAACCAAGGAACACAAGCACCCCACCCAATATCCACATGGGGACATCGAGGCCAAGAGGCAGAGGCAACCTAGTGTGACACAGTAGTCACCTGATCTGGGGGGTTCCTCACACCCCCAGACACCTCAGTTTTCCACCTTCTCCCTAGAATGTGCCTCCACCCCCAGCACAGAGCCCCTGCCTTATTCCCCTTGACAGTGCTCTGGTCCCTAGTCCCGTAGAATTAGCAGGACGGGACCTCGGCCTGGTCTTCCCGTCCATGGGGATGCACAGGACAGCCAGCCACTCACCGTAGGCGGGTGGTCCATGGAGACCTGGGTGGCAGCCCATAGCCCTGCTTGCATCATACACGTCACCCCGTGCAGCTCATGCCCCGGGCCGATCTCAAACAGGCCCAAGCGAGACTGCTTGTCACGGAGGCGCCAGAGGAGCCCACGACGGCGTCGACGCTGGCTGGAGCTGGAGGTGATTGCTCTGCCCCCAGCCTCTGGGGAGAGAGCCAGGACCTGGTGGGAGGGGCACAGGAAGCAAAGGGCAGGTGGCAGCATCCTGAGGGGAGACCGGAGTTGAGTCCCTCTTCTACTACTTGGGAGCCTTCCCCCCCTCTCTCTTGCCTGTTTCCTCTGCTGTAAAACAGATAACACCGGTGCATTATCTAACATCTCACCAGGTGTTGCGAGGGGCCTGGCACACAGTCAGGACCCAAACAGAGTGACAGTTACTGTGGGAGGCAGCGTGTGCATTCTGCAGTCAAACCTGGTCTGAGACCCACCGTCCTCCAGCTGTGTGACCTTAGGTAAGTCACCTAACTTCTGCGTGCTTCATTTTCTCATTTGTCACAGGAGAACGCTGGTAGCGTTCCAGGCCAGCGCGGAGGGTCAGCGCGATGGTGAGATCATACCAGCTGCCCATTAATGCGGCTCCCACCACGCGCCCAGCACTGGCTGAGAGCTGCCTCTCCACACAGCCCTATGAAAGAGGAGCTTTATTACCATCCGGGTTTCCCGATGAGGAAACTGAGGAAGTCCTGGGGAGACACTCGCCAGACCTCCCGCTTCATACCTTGCTTAGCCCCATGTGGGGCGTGTCCTGGTCCTCACCGCCGCCGGACCCCTCCCTGGCTTGCATGGGGGCGTGTCCACGCTACTCGCCGATGGGAGCCCCGACCCTAGCCCACCGCCCCTTCCTCCCTATCTTCTCAGGTCCGCACCTACCTCGTGGGGCCCTGGACTAGGCGCAGCCATCGCCCCCGCAGTAGCTTCCCGGGCTTTGGCTGTGTCCCCTGTCTCCCCGCTGCAGGAGCCAGGCCCCGCCCTGCCTCGACACCGACCAATCGCGCAGCGCCGGTCATAGCTATACCCAATCCGCGAGGGGGGCGCTGGAGATCGCCTGTGGGTCCCGCCCCCGCGGCTGCAGCATCCTTCGGCCCGCGGTCCAGGAGGGGCGGGGCCGGCGGGCGTTGGCTAGGGTCCCCCGGAGGGAGGACCAACACCTACCCCGTGGGTGAGGGACTCCGGGGCTGTCTGGAGAGGCCTGTCCCGCCCACGCGCTCTGGAATGAAATTCCCACGGACTGTCTTTTGCGTGAGAATAACTAAGATCCAGAGGAGGAAGGGGGTACCTCCAGGTCACAGGCCAGTCAGGGACACCCGTTCTGGCAACACACCTATCTGGAACACACTTCGAGCAGGAGCGGTGCTAGGCCCTGGTAATTTAGTGATCAGAGGGAGGGACACAGCTGCCAGCATGATCTTTTAAAAGCATCAATAGGATGATGTCACTCTCGTGCTCAAAGCCTCCAGCTTCCCAAAGCAATGGAACCAGATCCGAACCCCTCATGGGGGCCTGGGTCCACCCGAAACCACTCTCCCTACACCACCACCCAGCCATACAAGTCTCGGATGCTCCTTGGCCACCAGACTCCCACCTGGGGACCTTCGCATTTGCTGTTCCTTCTACTTGAAATCTTTCCCCGACTTCACTTGCCTCATTCCCTCCTGTCCCCTTTGCCTGACTTTGAGTGCCCCTCCCCCACTCTTGATCACTTTTTCTTTTTTTGGAGAGGTTTTTGCTATAGGGTGCGTGCGCTCGCCAGAGAGACAGAAAGCAAGAAATCACCCCCTAGGGGGGATGGCCACGCAACAATTCCTTCTCCTCCGTTCTCCTCTCTGGATCTTGGGCACGCACGCACACGTGACTGGCGTGTTTTAAGCCACCAGGCCCAGGACGCGAACCTTGGTTGACTACGTGGGAGTCCAGCGACATAGCCATTATGCTAACTGCTGGTCCCATCCCTTTTTTTAATTGTCAGGAGGTATTTGCATTCACCAGAGAACACACGATGGGGTGCATCATGTCACAGTCTCTTCATTTCTCCATTTTGTCAGGATTAAAAATACATATTCCATTTTATTATTTGCTATAGGGCATATGCATTCACCAGGAGAGAGAGAGGCAGAAAGAGAGGGAAAGTGACTAGGGTCTCACTAGGTCTGGGACCCTAACTGCAGTCAGTCCTGTGAGAGTCCAGTGCCTTAACCACCATGCCCCGCTGGCCCGTCAGGATTTTGGACACATGCACCTAGCATGTTTTTTAGGCTGTTGGCCCAGGACACAAACCTGTCAGCCACGTGGGACCCAGCTCCCGTAACCACCAGGCCCCTTAAGCCCGGGCTGCAGGGCAGGCCCTTTACTTTCTAAAGTCAGTCTTGTTCATTTACTTGCTACATACATCTCTTAGAGTGGCAACCCCACGGGGACAGGGACCACTTGGTCTCATTTTCTGACTCAGTGCAGGCCTGAG